GAGATGTGAAGACGATGTAATCAGTCCATCACCCTTGTAGTCGTATAATTTGAGGTTGTCAGTCCCTCGGCCTGGAGAAGTTCAGTTCCATAGTCATGAACTATCTGAAGATCAAGCGACAGTGCAGAGACTTAAATACTCTCGGAAGGAGAGGTGCAGAGTAGTAGTAGTAGTAGTAGTAGTAGTAGTAGTATACCATTTTGATGTTCATCTTGTCAGACACTGCAACACATGGCATCTTTGTACAGAAAACACCTTGGACAAGCTTTTCAAGTGAGAAGTGTTGGATCTGAGAGGGACATGACCTCTCAGTGGCTACATTCTCACTACTACTACTACTACTACTACTACTACTACTACTACTACTACTACTACTACTACTACTGCTACTAATACTCTGCACCTCTCCTTCCGAGAGTATTTAAGTCTCCGCACTGTCGCTTGATCTTCAGATAGTTTCTGACTATGGAACTGAACTTCTCCAGGCCGAGGGACTGACAACCTCAAATTCTACGACTACAAGGGTGATGGACTGATTTCATCGTCTTCACATCTCTACTGTTCCTGCCTACTTTCTGTATTCGACTGAAGAAGCCTACTGTGTAGGCGAAACGTTTCGGAATAAAGTTGTCTAACTGTTGCATATGTGTCTTACCTAACAACCTGTCGGTATTGTATACCATTTTGATGTTCATCTTGTCAGACACTGCAACACATGGCATCTTGGTACAGAAAACACCTTGGACAAGCTTTTCAAGTGAAAAGTGTTGGATCTGAGAGGGACATGACCTCTCAGTGGCTACATTCTCACTACTACTACTACTACTACTACTACTCTACACCTCTCCTTCCGAGAGTATTTAAGTCTCCGCACTGTCGCTTGATCTTCAGATAGTTCCTGACTATGGAACTGAAATTCTCCAGGCCGAGGGACTGACAACCTCAAATTCTACGACTACAAGGGTGATGGACTGATTACATCGTCTTCACATCTCTACTGTTCCTGCCTACTTTCTGTATTCGACTGAAGAAGCCTACTGTGTAGGCGAAACGTTTCGGAATAAAGTTGTCTAATTGTTGCATATGTGTCTTACCTAACAACCTGTCGGTATTGTATACCATTTTGATGTTCATCTTGTCAGACACTGCAACACATGGCATCTTGGTACAGAAAACACCTTGGACAAGCTTTTCAAGTGAGAAGTGTTGGATCTGAGAGGGACATGACCTCTCAGTGGCTACATTCTCACTACTACTACTACTACTACTACTACTCTGCACCTCTCCTTCCGAGAGTATTTAAGTCTCCGCACTGTCGCTTGATCTTCAGATAGTTCCTGACTATGGAACTGAACTTCTCCAGGCCGAGGGACTGACAACCTCAAATTCTACGACTACAAGGGTGATGGACTGATTACATCGTCTTCACATCTCTACTGTTCCTGCCTACTTTCTGTATTCGACTGAAGAAGCCTACTGTGTAGGCGAAACGTTTCGGAATAAAGTTGTCTAACTGTTGCATATGTGTCTTACCTAACAACCTGTCGGTATTGTATACCATTTTGATGTTCATCTTGCCCAACCTGCAAACATGGCATTTTGGGTTCAAAAAAACCCCTTTGGGACAAGCTTTTAAAGTGAGAATTTGGTTGAGAGGGACATGACCCTCATGGTTCATTCCACTCTACTACTACTACACAAAAACCTCCACCTCCCCTTCCGAGAGTTTTAGTCCCGCACTGTCGCTTATTTTCAATAGTTCCGCTATGGAACTGTACTTCTCCAGGCCGAGGGACTGCAACCCAAATTCTACGAACAAGGGTGTGGACTGATTAATCGTCTTCACATCTCTATTTTCCCTCCCTACTTTTTTATTGACGAAGACCCTTCTGTGTAGGCAAAACGTTTCGGAATAAATTGTCAACTTTGCATAGTCTTACCAAAAAAACCTGTGGGTATTGTAACCTTTTTGATTTCATCTTGTCAGACACTGCAACACATGGACTTGGTTAAAAAAACCCCTTGGACAAGCTTTTAAAGTGAGAGTGTTGGATCGAAGGGACTGCCCTTTCAGTGGCTACATTCTCCCCTACTACAATACTTACTACTACTACTACTATACTACTACTACTACTACTACTACTCTCTGCACCTCCCCTTTCCGAGAGTATTTAAGTCTCCGCACTGTCGTTTAAATCTTCAGTTTAGTTCCTGACTATGGACTGAACTTTCTCCGGCCGAGGGACTGAAAACCCTCAATTTTCTACGACTAAAAGGGTGATGGACTGATTACTTTTCGTCTTCACATCTTTTACTGTTCCTGCCTTTTTTCTGTATTCGACTAAAAGAAGCCACTGTGTAGGCGAAACGTTTCGGAATAAATTTGTCAAACTGTTGAAATATGTGTTTTTACCTAAAAACCCTGTGGGTATTGTATCCCATTTTGATGTTCTACAGCAGGGGTCTACACTATCCCCTGTGGTTCTGTCCCAAGAAATATGTAGGCGAGACAGGCAGAGATCTTGCAGTCCGCCTAGAGTGAACATCAAAATGCTCTAACAGAGACGATGTAAGGTACGCCTGTGTCCCCACAGAGACTCCACGGGGCATTTGGTAAAACTGGAACGAGGCACAACTCGTTCTCACCGAACCAGACCTCAGACGCCGACGGTCCCTAGAACCCTCACTAATCGCCGTCACTGACACTATAGAACGAACACTGGAAACTACAACATTTCAAAAACATTGGCATACATGATACTTAAGCAGCACCAACCCAACAACACAGGAGTCACATGATTTCATCGTCTACCCGTCCTCATCATAGGTAGAGGTTGTTTTGAAAGGACCTGCCTCGCAGGGGCCCAGTAGGCCTTCTACATTGTTCCTCCATTCTTATGTTCTTATGACATTCCTCAGGTCACGTGCGTCACATCTCACTCTCCGCCTATATATATAATGTCTTTCTACCTCTGTATGCTAGAAGTGATCAAGGTCCCAGGACCGAAACGTTTTCTAATAAATATGTTATAGTGTTTGCTTACGTGTCTTTCTAAACCAACAAACAGATCTACCTGGGGTGGAAGGGACGCGAGTATTTATAGTCAGGTTCAGAATGCTGAGGTCAGGTGGAGAATGCTGCATCTGATGATGTACCGAGTGGGGTTATAGAGTCTAAAATCTTGGGTAGCTTGGAAAGGAGGTTGGATAAGTTTGTGAGCAGACCTTCTATAGTGTTCTTCCATTCATGTGTTCTTATGTGGGATAGCGATGAAGAAGTTTCTTGGCAAGTGGTTCAGCTATGTTATAGAAGCCACTATTCTGGTTGAAGTTGTCGGCTATAGAAATAAGTGATGATCAAGGCGAAACATCAAGGGACCTCCAAACACGTATTTCAGAACACCAGTACGCAAGCAGGTCTGACGACACAAGGAATGCCTGCGTACAACACCGTAATTCACACAACCACTTGATAAACTACAGAAACTCGAGACTTATCGCCACAGAAGACAACACTCAATACCGAAGAATCCTGGAATCATCACTTATTTCTATATCCGACAACTTCAACCAGAATAGTGGCTTCTATAACATAGCTGAACTACTTGCCAAGAAACTTCTTCATCGCTATCCCACATAAGAACACAGGAATGGAAGAACACTGTAGAAGGTCTGCTCACAAACTTATCCAACCTCCTTTCCAAGCTACCCAGGATTTTAGACTCTATAACCCCACTCGGTACATCATCAGATGCAGCATTCTCCACCTGACCTCAGCATTCTGAACCTGACTATAAATACTCGCATCCCTTCCACCCCAGGTAGATCTGTTTGTGACTTGAAAAAGCCCACTGTGTGGGCGAAACGTAGTCAATAAAGGATCACATTATACTTCATATGTGTTTATATTTCCAGTGTGGAGATTACTACTTCTACTACTGCTATTATTGCTAGTGCTAATACTACTACTACTACCACCACTATTACTACTGCTACTACTACTCTACCACCACCACCACTATTACTGCTGCTACTACTATCATTATTACTACTACTATTACTACCACCACTATTACTACTGCTACTACTACTATTCTTGCTACTACTACTATTCTTGCTACTACTACTATTATTGACACCACTATTACTACTGCTACTACTACTATTATTGCTACTGCTACTACAACCACCACCACTACTACTACTACCACCACCACCGCCACTACTACTACTACTGTTACTACTACTATTACTACCACCACCACCACTACTACTACTACGACTATTACTACTACTACCACCACCACCACAAACCATTCATCACTACTACAACCACCACCACTACTACTACTACCACCACCACCGCCACTACTACTACTACTGTTACTACCACCACCACCACTACTACTACTACGACTATTACTACTACTACTACCACCACCACCACAACTACTCCTAATACTATTACTACTAATAATAATTATATTACTACTTCTGCTGTTACTCTACTACTAATGATAATAACAGAAGAAGAAGAAGAAGAATGGTGACTTTTTTAATGCTTATTATCCAAAAATTCATTAACATACAAGCCTCCAAAAAAGAAGGTCTGTCAGTGTACTACTGATGCATAGTTGTTCGTCAGTGGATGGACATGTTCCCCCCTACACACACCCCCTTCGCCCCCTCCTCCAGGCTTTAACCACCAACCCCCTCCTACACAATATCCCCTTCAAGTAGGTACCATTGATACCTTGCTTACTCTTAATATTCAGAGGAACCGATATTACCATAAAAATGGTTAGTGATTCGGCCATATTTTTTTAAGACCGTGTTAATTACTTGTGTTTCAGTCTGTGTGTAGTCTTATGTAAGTCTTGGGAGAAGTTTGAGGTAAGACTTCAGTCGTCCTTGGGGAGGAGGGAGATAAATGGGGAGTTAGGGGTGAGTGGAGGGTTTATTTGGGGGTTAGTCTCCTATATATTGTGGTGGGGAGGACGGAGAAGCATCAGCAGCAGTGTGCAGGGCTACAGCAACATGAAGCTCCTGGTGAGTCAAGCATCTACCAGGACACTGTGTACCTGGTAGACGCTGTCTTATACGCACGCGCATAACACACACGCAACACAATTTACATGAACAACTGTAGAGACTACACTGACTTGTGTTGGTGTGTCCAAATGTTGCTACGGGATGGGTTCTGTAGAAGAATGGTCGTGAACCAGTATGACTAGACTTCCCCGGGTGGCTCTTCGGCCTTAGTAAAAGAATAGTCCAATGAAAGATTTCGGCTTCGGCAATACAGTAGAGGCTTCTGTGTAGGTTGTAAGCGATGGAGTGTACATATTTTTACTTTTTTCTTTTCTTCAGATATTCTAGACAGACTTATTCAAGTCCATCAACAAGGTAATACCATCTGAATGATTAATCAAATGTAGTCATAAGCATTGTTATATTTAACCAAGATTATTACTTGCATACTAGCTAAAATCTTATAAACATGCGCGTCTAACAACCCTAGTACTACGTTAGTACTTTAACTTAATACAGATTGCTAGAATAGGTTGTACTTTCCATGTAATATGAGATCGTAAGTATCCCTTATATACGATTTAAGAAATGTTACATATTTTGTGTTTGTTTTACGTTGACAGGTGGTTTTGTCTCTTGCTTGGTGCTACAGTGCAGCGCAGTATGTGATGCCCCTCTCATATATGGGGTATCCTTTAGTGCAACAATACAGCTCCAGACCAATGTACGGTTATTCTACCTTCGGCTACCACGGCATCAACCAGAACCGCCATGAGTTCCGCCGTCCTGATGGCAGTGTTGTTGGTCATTACTCCTACATCCAACCCGACGGTAAGCCCGCTGTTACCTTCTACGAGGCTGGTGCTGGTCAAGGCTACCGCGTCAGGTCAAATGTCCTTCCCGTAGCAGAGACTGCAGAGCTGAGCGCCCCTGTGAACAATCTAGTTGCCCCAGAACCCGTACAAGAAACCCCTGAGGTTCTTCAGGCTCGGGCAGAGTTTCAAGTCATGTACGATGAGGCCAAGTCCCGGGCTGTTGAAGAACCAAGCGCTCGTAAGAAGCGTCAAGTGACTTTCCTAACTTACCCCGTCACTTCCGCCGTCAGTATTAAGACCAAAGAAGCACAAGACAAGACTACTGCTATTCAAATCCCAACCCCTATGGTCTACTCATATCCATTCAGCCCCCTCATGAATTACGCATCATTCCCATATGCTTACCATGGCTACCCTTACTCCATAAACCCGTTCGTGCCCAAGACTGAGGAGGTGAAGGCCAAGCTTGAGACTGATGCTGAGACTGAGGCTGAGGCTGAGCCTGAGCCTGAGGCTGAGACTGAGGCTGAGGCCGAGTCTGAGCCTGAGGTTGTCGTGGAGGCTCGTCGTCGTCGTAGACAGGCACAATATGTCTTCCCTCTCAAGTACACCGCAGACTATGCCAAGTTCAAGACCCAGAAGTTCGAGACCGTTGAGTCCGACACTCCCGCTGACACCACCAAGATCGAACTTAAGGAAAAGGTGTACAAGTATAAGCTCCCTGGCATGTACCATCCATACTCTGCCTATACTCCTTACTCTGCCTACACTCCTTACTCTGCCTACACTCCTTACTCTGCCTACACTCCTTACTCTGCCTACACTCCTTACGCTGTCAATCCTGCCATTACTTACTCTGTTCCATTCCCTTTCCAAAGGCACATCCCTCTCATTGCTGCTCCCATTAAGAAGGAGTAGGACCTCACACTATCAACAATCTCATTTCCTGTGACAGAAAATAATTTTGGATAAGATTATTTGTATATATGTATGAGGGATGGTTTGGTGTCACCGAGTCGTTCGTATACAGCTGCTACAGACGCGTCTCTGACGTAGCTCGTGTAGCTGTCACACATACGTCTCTTTCACACTGCCTGCCTCATATGTACCTCTAATATTTTGATGTAGCTGCTATATTCGTTGCTGGTGCACCCATGTCTGTGAGCGATGTCTGACAATGTAGATACAATGTAATGCAATAATAAAAAAATATAAAAATACGCAAGAGTTGTTTCTTCTCCAGCAATATGGTGAAACGAGATAAACAAAGTAATCGGTTCAGGTAACAGAGATTCTGGTGTTCTGTTACGCACTTTCGCTTCCTCGTGAAGACTCTAGTACTTTTGACGAGAAGTTGTTCCACAAACAGTCACCAGGGCTCTACACCGCCAGTGGTTCGACTGGCAGCCTCCTGGGATCTATACTACGAAAGTACCATTTCCCAGGCACTGTATAACCCCCTATAAGTTTTGTGTTTTCCCTAAATATAATAATAATAATAATAATAATAATAATAATAATAATAATAATAATAATAATAATAATAATAATAATAAGAAGAAGAAGAAGAAGAAGAAGAAGAAGAATTACAGTAAAAATCTATTACTGAGTTAGGGTTTTAGACCAGCACGACAGGAAGATTTCGTAGCATCATCAAGGGGGAGAAGAGAAGACCATTGGTATATACGAAAAAAAGTAAATTCTTGGAAAGCAGTGGTAGAACAAAGGTACCGGGAAGAAGACTCCTAGTGCTGCAGTTGCTAGAATTTAATTCTTTAGACGACATAGCATGAACCTAATTCTGGACTTGTAGCTACTAATCTTGTTTTAAATCTCTGAGAGTTAGCAATTGAAGTACAGAGAGAAAAGGAGAGAGAAGAGAGAGAGAGAGAGAGAGAGAGAGAGAGAGAGAGAGAGAGAGAGAGAGAGAGAGAGAGAGAAAGTGAGAAAGAGAGATGAAAGATATGGTTAGACTACATCTTTCCGGACTGTAATGAAGTATGTGATACAGTACCACATATTGCAAATTATGTATCAAGTATTGTAGACGTGGGTAAGTCATACAGTAACAAAACAATAAATATATGAGGCTGATAAACCGCAAGAACAGACATGGCTAAGACTGAACGTATTCGTGCAGAGGGATAACTGGAGACCACAACGCAGAGGAGGAAGAGTGGCGAAGGACTCTAGGATCAGTACTCTGAATTCTGTGGTTATTTGTACACGTAAATGACAACTAAAAGGAAAATAACCCCTGTGTGTATCACTGTTTTCAGATGACGTGAAACTAATAAAGAAGATATCAGTAGAAGAGTACAGGAGGAGACTTTAAGATGAGATGAACAGATTTAAAACTTGGTCAGGAAAATGGCTACTTGCTTGCTTGCTTGTTCAGACCAGAGCTTTGGTGAGATGGGTAAGGAAGAAGGATGGGTAAGGATAGAAATATTGGAAAAGGGTGGGAGGGGGGTGAGAGGTAGGATATAAAGGTAAGTGGCCCAACCACTTTGGTGTAATTTAAAAAGTGTACGTGAAATGATAAGATATTATTTAAGAGGTATAAGACTAACCCATCAGAGTCACATAGATATAACAGATATATAAGTACATGACTCTGAATTGGTAGTAATTATACAAGTTGCAATTGCTTTTTTTTTTTTTTTTTTTTTTTTTTTTTTTTTTTTTTTTTTTTTGCGATTGCACAGCGGATATTTATGCGACAATGAAGGCAATAATTTTCTGGCCAGTTTATAGAATTTCGTGACAATGGCTTCTTACAGGTGGTGTCCAGCCATAGTAAATAGCATAATTTTTACATTAGATTGTTATATAAGATGTCTCCCTAATTGGGGGCGATGATGTACTCAGTATACATAGAAGGGTTCTGGTGGTACCCAATCTTCTTCATCAGGGAGGTTGCTCAATATCATGGGTCGAGGGTAATCATCTTTATGTATAAAACGACGGACCCTCTGTGGGAGAGTCATTCTTTGAGTCCTGTGAGGAGGAGTATTGATGATATAATCTGTGGTATTTACAACTTGTATAGGATGTTCTCTATCTGGCATGTATAGTTCTTGCATTGAATAGAGTTGTTTCTTTTTTAGGGTGTCAAGGCGTACATTTATGGCAGTAATATCTTGTTGTATGTGTAAATCTGCCATTTTAACTCTGTCTCTCCTCCTGGTATCGGTAATGAAGCGAAGAGCTCTATTCTGGACCCTTTGTAACCGTAGCATATTTGTCTTTGTTGTTAATGACATTGGGACACAAGGGTATTCGAGTATAGGTCTTATTAACATTTTATACAGATGTTTTTTTGACATGTTGAGGGGGTTGATTGAATCGAAAGAGACTGCTAAGACCGGCTTTGGCTATGTTGATCTTTTTAGTTACATGAGATGTTGAGTGGAGCAGCCTGTCTATTTCATATCCCAAAATCTTGTTAGGGTTTCTAATGGCTACAGGTGTACCTCTGATGGAGATACCTCCTTTATCTTCAATTGTTGATGCAAAACATCCTATCGTGCTAACAAGGACCTTGTCAGGATTAGTTGTAATTCTCCATTTCTTTTCCCAATTAGATGTTCTACGAAGTTCAATATTCATTTTTTCTATGACTCTCTCATACTTGTATTTTCCTGTTACCGGAGTTGATGAGACGACATGAATAACATCATCTGCGAACTGTGTCACAATTGTGTCATTAAACTCTGGCTACTAGAAGTGAAAAATAATTGGACTAGAAAAGTTGAGCGAAAAGCCCGGTTACGGAAGGCATCCTGCAGACAACTTGCCCTAATCCCGGAGGGGGCCCAGAAGCCACTTTATAATAATAATAATAATAATAATAATAATAATAATAATAATAATAATAATAATAATCATAATCATAATAATAATAAATCTTTATTTTTACAAATACTAGGTATACATTCCTAGCTGACATCAATGACGTGCTACCGTATAGAAAGCCGCAAATTAGGTCAGTTTTGTCCTAGGATACGACCCACACCAGTCGACTAACATTCAGGTACCTATTTTACTGATGGGAAGCATAGACAACAGGGAATCGAACCCGGATCCCTCGCCGTGTGAAGAGAGAGCTTAAGCCACCAGGCCAAGGGGTACATTGCTTAAAATTTTTGGGTCTACTGTATGAGAAAGGGATGTGAAGGAGCCCCCCGTCACAGTTCAACCTTCAGGGCCCCAAAAATGCAGGTCCGTCACTGGGCTGATATAACAAAACAAACAAAAAAACAGTCACGACAGAACTGATGAGAAGATACTTGGGAAACTAACCACAAGAAGGTTAGAAGAGAGAAAGACTAGAGGGACGCGATGACGCACACAATACTCGAATTAGATGAAGTGGGTAGGGAAAGGAGACACGAGATGACAGGAGAGGAAGCCAAGGAAGGTAGACGATATGAAAGAAATAGAAAAGTCAGAGGGATGTTAGAATATACTTTTCTGTCTCAGAACAATGAGCTGTATAACCGTTTTGGGTTTAGTGCTTATAATGATAATAATTAATAATAATAATATAATTAAAATAATAATAATAATAATAATAATAATAATAATAATAATAATAATAATAATAATAATAATAATAATGATAATAATAATAATAATAATAATAATAATAATAATAATAATAATAATAATAATAATAATAATAATAATAATAAATAATCGGGGTAATGAGCAATTGGTACAAACGAGACGATGTCGTGGAGGCAAACAGCATACACTGTTTCAAGAGTAGGTGTGATAGGTCATGAAGGTCAGAAATCAGTAAATCTGGTAGATAGAGAGGATAAGCATTATCTTTCTTCTCATCCACACGACAACAACTTGGAGTACAACTTCGTGAGTACACACACACATACACACACACACTATTCGCAGACTATGTGAAGTTGATGAGAAGAATTAAATCGGATGAGGATGAGGTAGGAATGCAAAGAGACCTGGACAGGCTGGACATGTGGTCCAGAAACTGGCTTCTCGAATTCAATCCTGCCAAATGCAAAGTCATGAAGATTGGGGAGGGGCAAAGAAGACCACAGAGTATAGGCTAGGTGGACAAAGACTACAGACCTCACTCAGGGAGAAAGACCTTGGGGTGACTATAACACCGAGCACGTCACCGGAGGCACACATCAACCAAATAACTGCTGCAGCATACGGGCGCCTGGTAAACTTGAGAATAGCGTTCCGATACCTTAATAAGGAATCGTTCAAGGCACTGTACACTGTGTATGTTAGGCCCATACTGGAGTATGCAGCACCAGTCTGGAACCCACACCTGGTCAAGCACGTCAAGAAGTTAGAGAAAGTACAAAGATTTGCAACAAGGCTAGTCCCAGAGCTCAGGGGAATGTCGTACTAGGAAAGGTTGAGGGGAATCGGACTGACGACACTGGAGGACAGAAGGGTCAGGGGAGACATGATAACGACATACAAGATACTGCGGGGAATAGACAAGGTGGACAGAGATAGGATGTTCCAGAGAGGGGACACAGAAACAAGGGGTCACAACTGGAAGCTGAAGACTCAGACGAGTCACAGGGACGTTAGGAAGTATTTCTTCAGTCATAGAGTCGTCAGGAAGTGGAATAGCCTAGCAAGTGAAGTAGTGGAGGCAGGAACCATATATAGTTTTAAGAAGAGGTATGACAAAGCTCAGGAAGCAGAGAGGGAGAGGACCTAGTAGCGATCAGTGAAGAGGCGGGGCCAGGAGCTGAGTCTCGACCCCTGCAACCACAATTAGGTGAGTACAATTAGGTGAGTACACACACACAGTAAATAGGCAAGGCCAGGTACAAGGTACAAGGCAACTACAAATAGGTGAGTATACACACAACATATATGTGAGTGTGTGGGAGTGAGTGTGTGGGAGTGAGGGGGTTGATGGAGGAAATGTAAATGAACAGGTGTAATTACCTATTCCCTTATACAACTTATTTAACATGAGCCAGCCCTCTGTGACCTAGTGTTGTATCTCAGTATGGAGCAGGGAAGGAAACCGAAGATTGACACTCTTGGATGAAATTCGACCACTAATTGAATGTTTTTCCCTCCCATTGTTAATAATGCTATTTATGAATTAGCTGCCTGACTGCGGTGGAGTGCGGTTGTGCTCGGCACCCCTCTGCTGTTTGTCAGGAGAGCTCTCATAGCAACAATATGGCGCTGAGTATCCGACGTA